GAGGCAGCTGCTAAGCAGAGCGGTCTGGCAATGTTTGTGCTTGGTATTCACATCACAGAAAGTTCACGAAAATCTCTTCCAGCATAAGCTCGCATGCGATAACTGCAGGCTCTTTCTTGACTGAATGTTTTTAAGCTTTAATCTTCAAAGATTTAAGTGTATCCATTTCCTGTTTAATATACTCATAGTGGTATTTAACTGAAGATGAAAATGATTTAAAGTTATATAAATAGTTCCAGTGACAGGCACAGGCGGAGCTTTGACAATTACATTTGAAATTTAATTTCATTTACGATCTTTGATGTGTCAGCTTATCTTGCTGGCATGTTTCATCAAAGACTATAGATTATACAAGAAGTGTCACTCGTAAAGCATTGAATGGGGAAAAGTGTAACGGTCAATATGGTGAATGAAGCCTCACTTACAGGAGCCAATCATCGATCGATATAAGCCCCTTTCATACATAAAGACCTTTCCGGAAAATTACCTGCAATTTTCTGGAAAGGTATGTATGTGTAAACAGACCCTACTTTAGCCAATCAGAACACTCAGACACATCCACATCCGTGCTGTTTATGAAGATAAAAATCTTTAAATATTTTTCCAGACACATTTAGCTGCTAGATGTTAATCAAATAACGTTTATATGTTTCTTCTTAACGCCAACTGTGTAAATAATTATTGGTAAGCAGTTGTTTGTTTACCTTCAAACTCTGCTTCCTTCAGTTGCTTGACGCATCAAGTGCCCTCTCGTTAAGCAGCCGGTGAGCGCCAGCACACACACATATAAATGTACATCTCGACACGCGAAAGTTTTTCTCTGTATGTTTTCATTGAAGTTGTTCACAATACTCATCCATCCACAGAGTTAGTAATGAAGTCAAATGTTTACAAATACAAACGCAGCCGTTTAGAGGTCATTTCTGGTCAAGGATGTCAGAATTTACCGGTATTTTGTAATGGTTGTTTCTGGAAAAATTCTGTAATGTCCTCGCCTGTGTGAACAGCGCTTTTATGAATCTACCGGTAAAGTCGCTCTGGAAATTTCCTGGTTATTTACCGGTATCACTGTGTGAAAGGGGCTATTGATTGACGATTCTCTGGTGGAGAAGCTCATACCAGACATGTGCTTTTATGATGGTTTATGTGGTCAATAAACACACTGGAATCTCACTGGAAGCGAATACTTGCTTCACAGACATAAGAAATATATCCCCATAAAGCTGAAATCTGTACTTTTAAATGAACCAACTATAGTTGAAAACAATTTTTCTGGTTTTGTAATCTGTATAAATTGAACGGCAAGTATACAGTCCGTCCTGTCAAACGCACGTCACATGACAGCAACTACTTAAACACCCACAAACTTGTTAACAAAGAGTCGCTGTCATTTCTGGAGATTTGCCAAGTTGTGAATTACTTCAGAACACCAGTGCGATCAGACGAAGCATTATCTAGAGGATGATAATGTGTAGAACGGACAGAAATGAGGTTGGTGTCGTGATCTCGTTCATTTCAACTGCGCATGTGCAATAGCTTGGGCAACCTGAAAATATGCTGACTTTGTTCTATTCGAACTTTAAGAAATTAAACTCATGAGACAGTTCTTGTTTAATTTTATTGGTGATTCCAAATATGTAATGTAATCGTGAGCTTGGCTAACAGTTTTGGAGAATTTAATGTTTCCTCATTCAGACAGAATGCCCAAGCATACTGCCCAAGAGCTGTTTCAAAGAGGGTCGCATATTGAAATGACTTTGCCTTGAAGGACTTTGGTTTTATCCTCAGCATGACAACCTGTGTGTGTGTGTGTCTTCGGTTTTTTTGTTTTGCATTTTTATTATTTGCTAAATTCCCAATAGTCTTGGGACTGTGTTTACTGTGCATCCATAATGGAAAATAAGGCAACTTTGTTTAACTTTATTATTTGAATCAGAAAAGATATAAAGTCTTTCATTATTTTAGGCAATAACTTTGAGAAAGCTAGTACGCAACCAGGGTTTCACTACAATTATGAATATAGTGTTTGCAGGCAGCATTAAAAGCCAGCAATGCAGATAAGAACAAAACAAAAGTATTATAAAATATCTAGTCACTTCAATCTGATTTACTTTCTTAATTTAGCAGACACTTTTCCTAAACGACATACAAACAGTTGCGTTTTTTGTTTTAAACAGTCTACCACAGTTTCAAAGTGTCTATCTGATTAAAGGGTCTAATTTTAGTTTGCTTGCGTAAACCAGTTTTTGTTTTAATCCATAGCAACTTCTGATTTCAGATTCATTATTTATGTCCTCAGCTGATTTTTTCAGTTGCTTCATTAGCCCTGTGAAATGAGAGCAGTGGCCAAAATTAGCTTTCTGTGGACTCAGCTACCCCATCTGCAGCATAACACACACACACACACACACACACACACACACACACACACACGGACATCCCCTCATGATTGCCTAAACTGGCAAAAGCCAAGCCAAACTATACAGCTCCTGCATTCATTTTTCAGTCAAATCTGTTATTGTGTAGAAAATTGCTTTTATCTTTCAAAAAGTTTTTTTACATATATTAATAAAATTTGACATGTATGCCACAGTGGCTCAGTGGTTAGCACTTTCGCCTCACAGCAAGAAAGTCACTGGTTCGAGTGCTGGCTAGGTCATTTGGCATTTCTGAGTGGAGTTTGCATGTTCTCCCCGTGTTTGTATGGGTTTCCTTCGGTTTCTCCGGTTAGGAGCAGTCCAAAGACATGCGGGATAGGTGAATTCAATAAGTTAAATTTGCTGTAGTGTATGTGTGTGTGTGTGTGTTGACGTTTCCCGGTACTGGGTTGCAGCTGGATGGGCATCCGCTGTGTTAAGTTGTGGATGAGTTTTCGGTTTATTCCGCTGTGGCGACCCCTGATAAATAAAGGGACTAAGCCAAATGAATGAATAAATATATTCATAATTAATGTTTACCACCGGTCTGTCGAGGGTATCTACATTTAATCTACTTTATACTTTATCATTTATTTCACCACCGGTGAAATAATGTTTGTTATCAGTTACTTGGAAGATGTCTCCATAACGTTTGCCCCTAGACATTTGTAGGACATCTGCATAATGTTTGCTTACCAACTTCTGCATACCAGAAGTACAGTCTCATTTTGTCCACTGTATAACAGTCCTAATTTGCCATTTTTATAACAACAGTTGAAAAATCCAGTTGCCTGGCCTGTTATCATAAGAACCATTAACATTTTACTAGATCATGATTAACTTTATTGTTTATCTTTATTGTTTGTTAACCTTTATGTTTATTTGTGTGATGATCTGTGTCGGCTATTGCTGTGAACCAAATTGCCCCTGGGGGAGAATAAAGAAATTCCATTCCAGTCCAAGAACTGACACCTGACCACTCAGACAAGGGAAAACTAATTTAAAAACCAAAAACCATCCCATACTCTCTATTTTGAAAGTGATGGGATAATGAAATGCCTTTTAATCAAATACAAATTGCAAAAACATAGGTTTTAATTTATTGTAAATTTAAGTTAATATTACAAATTAATAACTTAAAATTATTGTAAAAAGAAAATATGAGCCTATTTAAAGATGAAATCACAATTTTTGTCAATTTCAACTTACAATTTTCAGTGGACAATAAAATATAACTTTAATAGATGTAACAAAATTCTAAATCATAACACATTCTAAATGTGTTGTTCAGTTTTTCTCAACAGCTGACAACCAGACATGCAGAAAAAACACAGGCCTTAACCCAATAGAAAATTTGTAAACTGACATCAAAAATGGTGTTTCTAAGGCAAAAACAAAAATACAGAAGAATTGTGGTGTTTAGTAATCGTCCTGGAATGGCAGACCTGTTCAAAGGTGCCAGAAGTTGGTCAACTTGATGCAGCACAGATGTGAAGCAGATCTCAAAAACCATGGTTATACAAGTAAATATTAGTTCAGTGATTCACAAGAAAGCTAAATCTTTAAGCATTTTTAAGCTAATACAGTAAATATTTGTATTCTAACAGAAAAATGAAGACACTGCAATGTAGCATCTTTTAACAGCTTAATATTTGTTTTTCTTCACTTTCTGTAAAATTATACATTTAACCATTTATTTCTTCATGTTTTAATTTAGAATGCAGTTTATTGTTTCCAAAACATTTGCATGTATTAAAATAAAGATTATTATAAGGATTTTAAACTTTGCTCACTTTTTACAACACACTATTATTTTGAGTACAGCTGTGTGTATTTTATATTCTTTTCGGTTGCGAACAAAGCAATCGAATCAGAAAAGCTGGAGAAATAACATGCAACACACATAAACAAAAAATTTTAAGTTGTTAAACGTATTATACTATTGTTGTTTATTAATTGGGCCAATAGTTTTTTTTTTCTTATCTGACTAGCATATTTACTGTTAAAATGACCTGTAGAATGCTCCCTATAGGGCCTCGCAATGTTTTATGAATGTCCCATGAATATCCATGGCCAATGCTACATGAGCATCTGTTGTACATCCTCTGCACATAACGCCAATGTCCAGCAAACACCCGGGGTACATTCTCCAACAGACGTCCCAGTAATGTCCATGTTGGGTACATCGCACCAATAAACTCACAGAGGCAATTAGGGGGATGTCCTATGGATCTTTTTGTTATCTGTGTGACAGTACGCTTCTCAGAATTTGGAGAAGATTTCAGTAACAGCTTGTTTTTATGTTTTTCTGAAAGTCATTCCTTAATTTGTAGCATTATTTTAGTGCTAACCTACTGATATAGTTTTTAAATTTGAGTGTAATATATGAAGTGCTCCTTTCTCTTTTATCTGTCTTTGTAATTGCTAAATGTACTGTACATGTGCTCTCTGTGCCTGTAACATCATAGTGGCATCTTACACTAGGTCTCTATGTCACCATGTAGAGTTTGTGCTTAAGTGTTGAAATGCCATGAACAGCTCTCGTCCGCACTCACTAACTTCACTTCGCTTTTATTTTTACAGGCGTTGTGTGGCTGCACAGTGAACATTCCCACTATTGACAACCGAGCCATTACATTGCCCTGCAATGACATCATCAAACCAGGCACAATCAAGAGACTGCGTGGAGAAGGCCTGCCTTTCCCAAAAAACCCATCCCAACGTGGGGATTTAATAGTGGAGTTCCAGGTGCGCTTCCCAGACAGAATCCCACCCCAGTCCAGAGAGATCATCAAACAGCACCTTCCACAGTCTTAGAGGGAGCTCAGCGGAGTCACTGGATGCTTACATTTCTCACACATACACATTTCTCCCAAAAGTACAGATGCTGAATTCAAAGAGGGACAAATATGGACAAGAGGGTCATTTGAGATTTTATTATACATTCACTTTTAAGTTATTTTCAATATCTCAAAACACATGAAATGCTGTTTTCTTTTTAGAAGTATTGAAAAATTTTGTTACCCCAAGGTCTATGGCTTTCAACCTGGACTTGACTTTCAGAAATTTTCCGTGGTCACTTTACAATAAGGTTCCATTATTTAACGTTAATGTATTTACTAACAAGAACTAAGAATAAATGCTTTTAGAGCATTTATTAATTGCAGGTCAACATTTACTAATTCAGAATTAAAACTCAAAGTTGTGCTTGTTACGTTGACGTACTGTATTTCACAGCTACTTGCCACAAAACATTGTTCTGAGCTGTTATTGTTTATTCATTCTTTAAATGTAAAGTTGACAAAGACAAAAACAGGTTAATTGAGCTGATGGAGCATTTACTAACCTCCTCATTACTCAGTTACAAAATGGGGCCAAACAGTCAAAAACGCAAAAGATGACAGAAACGAAACCGGCTGAATGGTGCACAGACTTACATATTATTCATTTACAAGATGTGGCTAAACAGTGGCATAATAGACAGAAGTTCCCAGTCAAGGCTGTGTTATTCAGTGGTTGTTATCTTGTAATAACATATCTTGAAATGTCATAAGTGACCAATCAGAATGGAGTATTCCAAAGTCATGTAATAAGAGTCAATGCACTGTGAGTTAACAAGAACCATCAATGCACGACTGCATTTTTATTACCTAACATTAACAAAGATGAATAAATACTGTAATAAATGCATTGTTCGTGTTAGAAAATAGTTTAACTAACATTAACTAAAGGATCCTTATTGTAAATGGTTTCCAACTGGTTTTATCCTCTCTCTCAACATAATGAAGACAAAAGGTAACAAGAAAGCAAAATGTTTTTTAAATTAAATGTTTTTTAGGTGTTTTTTAAAAGGAAGGGAAGTTGAATTTTTTGCTGTGATGATGAAGATGCGGATGATTTAGATTTGTTCTGGTTTTGAATCTGTGTTATTTTGTAGGAGGTTAAATTTCACTCCATTTTGAGAATCGATAAGCTATAATGTTGAATGTTGATGTATGTAAGGCGACAAGGATTTTTAGGATTCCTTAAAACCAGCAAAGCTATTTGGAAACAATAGTTGATATATTTCCTCTCCCTGACCCTGTCTCAACAGTCTACTGGTGCTTTCTGGTTGTTTTTGGAGTACCGGGTGCTTGTATTTATAGTAAACCTTTGATGGTGGGATTTTTAGGTCACAAAAAATGAGTGCCTTAATGTGGCCCCATCTAGCTCTTTTATCTCATTAGCAATTACATAAGACCTGGGTATTAATAAAACAGTAATCTGGATTTTCTTTGTCATTTCAATACCCCAAGATAATATATTGCAGTAATCATCTTTAAAGGGACATTTCACTCAAAACTGATCTAATCATGTTCTCGATTATCATGGGCCCAATCATACACCCGGCGCAAGATGTGTTTACCCCGACGTGTTGAAATTTTCAGACCAACACAACCTTAGTTTTTTTGTTTTCTGCCACGTTGCTTAAATAGCAAACCCATTTGTGCCACTTCGTGGACTGTTTCGATCTGGAAAGAGGTGTGTTAAGGCGCATTGCTATTTTGAGGAACTAAAAATAGACAGCTGAAAGCAGGTGTAAAGTCCAACGCAGAACGTGTCTGTTGTGCGCCTTAAACACTTACACATTGCTTAAGACATGCAGGATGTACAGAAATACAGAAATATATTTACAAATGAAAAAGAGTTAAAGGAATAAATTATAAAACTATTATTTTCTACATAAATAAAAAACACTACCTCCTCCACTACCAGTTTTCCATTCCTGGCAACTTGCTTATGTATAATGATATTTTTATTATTAGAATTATATATTATATTTATATTTGTATCTAATTTAATTTGGACCATATGGGGTATAGCATGTGTTTTAGGATATAACTCAGTTTTTTTAGCACACTTCGTTATTATTGTTCATTTCTTCGTTTGCTGGAAATTAGAACTGAATTTAGAAATAGTTTTGAAACAAATCTTTGTGCTTAATAAACAAAATTATTTATGTAGGCTAATGGATGTCTGTGCTTATTACATCATGTCCTTATCCTTGACAAAGAGAAAGTGAAAGCAAAGACAGAATAAGCAAAGCCCTGTTAGACCATATTTGTGGGCACAGAGTGTTTTTTTCTGTCCTTAAAATAGCAAAAGTGGATTTGGACATGCCCTTATTGCTTTTGCGCCATGTGCTTTAGACTGTGTGCCTAGATCATTAAAATAGAGCCCCATAACTTATGATGTTAGTTTGGAACATGAAGAGTTAACACCAACAAAATGGTCCTGCCGGTTTTTCCAGATAATTATTTTTATACAAGTATCTGATAAAGAAAAAAAATAAATTGACCTACACTATCTTTGTCGTGTACACAACATTTTACAGTTGGGTCAGAAAAATCATCCTTGCTAGCAGTTTCTTTTTTTTTTAACTATCTGAAAAGAGTTTCAGAGAATTACAAAATAATTTTACGAAATAACTTGTGTTCCTTAGAAAAAGTAAAATCTTATGTGATTTGGGCAACATAACGGCAGAAGTTACTGCATTATATTAAATTATTCTTGGATATTGAAGAGAAGTTTATTTATAAACTAATTTTGAGAGGATCACATGTTTATGATTGCCCACAGCCGGTCCCGCATAAGCTAACACATGAGTCCATACCTGCCAACACGCCTGTTTTTCCTGAAAGTCTCCCGTATTTCAGACCCATCTCTCATGTTTGTCTGTCTCCTGGAATTTGACAAATTTTGGCAAGCATGGCAAACACGGTTTATAATCAATCATCAGCTAAGTGTGAACTCTTAAATGACAAAAAATATCCAGATTTGTCTTTTTAATATACACGCCACCGGCTCATGCTTTAAAAGAGAACATCCTCCAACATGGAGCATGACCATTTCAGATTATTAAACACCATTTTTCTTTATATAAGCGAAAGAAAGAGAACGAGAGCATATGTTTCTTAATGTTTATTGAAGTGTTGGAAGATTGAAGCTAAAAACTGATTTATTTATTTATTTTTTAAATGCAGATCTTTGTTGTTCAGTAAGCACGTCTAGTTATTTCAAGCTTTTTTATGAGGAAAATTATTTGTTTATCAAACAGCTTTTTACTACAACAACAGTTTCACTATACTGTATTTTACACTTACAATGTGTTCAACGTTGAATAATTTGCAATAGTTCTTTGTATTTTAGTTTAGATTTCTACAAAGCGCCTCCCTTTCAATACAAAATACTGTCTTTCTACAGTAATGGGAGCCTTTGAGTAACAGTATTTTCTATATAAACAACACTTTTCACTTATCCAGGGTTACATTCAGTATATCTCTCAGACATAACTATGGTGTTTATTTAATCATTACTGTATTTGGTGATGAACTGAAAGTATGAAGCAACACAACCTTTTTAATGACTGGTGTCGAATTGTTTTATGATGTGCTGATCTATGTTAGGATTGTTATAGCATTGTACTCATGAGACTTCTGGACGGCCAGACACTTGTGTTGTGAATTTGAATGTCCCATGTTTATTACTTCTGTCCTTATGTATGAGACAGTATGAAATCCAGCTCCCTTTGCACACTGGGAGGATAAACCGATGCTGAAAACAAACGCTGTGTTAGTTTCCTGTGACTTAGATTGGGTCTAGATTGGTGTCTGTTTAACTGTTTATATTTTTTAATGAATGATTGACAGGAAACAAGAAATAAACCAAAATGAGGATTTACAGAGTTTGAGACTAAATGAAATGTGGATAGTAGACTGAAGGCTGTCCGAACAGCATGACAAAGCTGAATTTATTACAAATAAAACTCAAAAACTCAATACAAATTTTAAATGAAAACATTGAGAACTAATCTGAATGTACTTTTCCGTAAGTTACTAGAGATGCAGTTAGACTGAAACAACCAACAAAGTTTGCATGTCTCAAACATCATATAAACATTGGATTAAGATTGAAATTCTAGTTATTTTTGAAGTTATTAACTTGGACATATTACATAATAATCCTATAATATGTAACAAAGCACAAAGTTATCTTCAAATGGAGTTACTTTCTCTAGTTTCTGTACACCAGCAAAAGTTTCCATATAGTTGAATTTTCTTCAAGGAACATAAATGTCACAATATGCCAAATTTAAACAATTCTAGACAAAAGAGACATAAACTGATAAGAGCGGTACATTGTCACCATGCCCAAGTCATGGTGAGACATGCAGATTTATGTATGTTTTTGTGTGCTTTAAACATTGAGGTTGTAAATAGCTGACAGTTGATAGAGAAATTAATTGGTTCAACACTCATACAATACATCGCCAGATAATCGTCTGACAGTCATGTCTATGTATACACGCAGTTGAAGTCAGGATTATTAGCCCCCTTAGAATTTTTTTATTCTTTTAAAAATATTTTTCAAATGATGTTTAACAGAGCAAGGAAATTTTCACAGTATGTCTGATAATATTTTATCTGGAGAAAGTCTTATTTGTTTTATTTCGACTTGAATAAAAGCAGTTTTAAATTTTTTTATTTCATTTTAGGGACAAAATTATTAGCCCCTTTAAGCTATATTTTTACAATAACTTGCCTAATTACCCTAACCTGCCTAGTTAACCTAATTAACCTATTAAGCCTTTAAATGTCACTTTAAGCTGTATAGAAGTGTCTTAAAAAATATCTAGTCAAATATTATTTAGTGTCATCATGGCAAAGATAAAATAAATTAGTTATTAGAAATTAGTTATTATAATTACAATAAATTAGCTATTATTTTTAGAAATGTGTTGAAAAAAATCTTATCTCCGTTAAACAGAAATTTGGTTG